GGGGGGGGGGGGGGGCGACGCAAAACGTTCGCCGGGTAGTCGGAGCGGAGTGCCGAAAACCAATTCCGCGGGAGCGACACCGATATCTTCCTTGACGGTGTTGCGCAGCGCGAGAAGTACCACAGGCAAACGGTCCGACCAGCGCACGGAGTCGTGCGCGATGAGGGCTGCCTTGAGCGTGCGGTGGAATCGTTCGATCATGCCGTTCGCCTGCAGGTGATAGGGCGAAGTACGGTCGTGCTGGATGTCACATGAGTCCATAAGCGCTTTAAGGAGGTCGGACTCGAACTGCTGGCCCAGATCGGTGGTAATGACGTCCGGAACACCGAAACGAGCGATCCAATTAGCGATATCAAGGTGCATGTGACCAAAACGGCGCTCAGGAGGCGTGAACGGGGCGACAGGCGACGAAGTATGGCGGTGGACTTTGCTTTTCTGACACGGAACACAAGTGCTAACCCATAGCTGGATATTTCGGTCCATGTTCGGCCAGCAAAAGCGGTTCCTAATGAGCCGAGCAGTGGCTGCACGGCCTCCGTGCGCCTGATTGTGGATGGACGCGAAAACGACGACAGGCGGGGACGAAGAGTCGCCGAGAACCGGTTGAGACGTCAAAAATGAGCGAACGAAGCAGCGGACGGAGCTCGAGAGATGAACGAACTTCGCTAAAAAGAATTTAGTTAAGTCCCGGATCGTCGTTCTGATCGATGTCCCACTGATCCAGATCTGGATGATAATGATCAAGGGACGCGATCTGGAGGCGAGAAAGCGCGTCGGGCACGACATTGGAATCGCCGCCAATATGTTCGATGTCATGTAGGTACTGCGAAAGAAACGCGATGTTATGATGCTTTGTCAACAATATATAAATATCATATTATGGTAAAATAATTAAATAGGCATTACATATTTTCATCGTATATTAATGTATATTTATTTACGTAAACATAAGCTAAGAAAAACAATTATACATTAGGATGGTTCGGAGTCGAGGAAACAATGTTTCGCGAACGGCGTCGGTGCGAAGGACGAGCGGGGCTGGGTCGAAAAACCGTTACACCGGCGGCGAGGGGCGTGGCCGACGTCCGCCACGNGCGACGCGCAGCGGGAAGGAGAAATGTGGCGCGAAACCCGCCACAATCTAATAGATACGACCTTATTCGTCGGTTCTACAATTGTGTCAATTCGTCGTATCTAAACATACGATGGTTTTTGTTGGAAATAGATTCTCTTTGAACACTAGACATACGATCTTTTTCATAGGAAATGCAGAAAAAATCCTCCACCAGATGCCAGTAATAACTTAAAATTGACAAAAATCGAGATACGACCTTTTTCGTTGGGGCCATCGAATTGTGGGCTCCATTAATTTTTAATTTTGTGTCAAATTATATTTTATTCAATGCCGAAAAATGAATTTAACATGTACTATACTATTAAATTTTACGACTACCGGATAATCTTATGAATATGATAAGTGTACTTCAATATTATGGTAATTCTGTAATTGACAATTACATCTTTAAGATCAATTTCTCCAATCTTGGCCTTGTATCAGTATTTGAAATCGTCTATCTGATATTAATGATTCGTAATGAATAATATAATTGCATTTTTATATAATTGTTAATTGGGCTCCATTAATTTTTAATTTTGTGTCAAGTTATAATTTATTTATTGCCGAAAAATGAATTTAACATGTACCATACTATAAATTTTACGACTACCGGATAATCTTTTGAATATGATAAGTCTACTTTAATGTTTTGGTATCTCTGTATTTGATTATTACTACTTTTTGGTAAATTTCTTCAATCTAGACCAGGTCCCAATAACCTAGTTCTTTCGTCTAATATTTATGATTCATTTATGATACCCAAGTCGTGTGACTTTTTGAGTTGAAGTCGCCATCCACAACGAGCTTCCCCGAGGGGCTGATTTGTCGGATGGTCACCTCAATTTTGTTGTCCGTACGGGCGAACTCTTCCTACGGACAGTTCGGAGAAATATAGCAGCTGAGCACCGTCGTAATGTCAAACTTTATACAAGTGTGCCTGGGGCCGGAACCCCTGGCCTCTTTCACAAATTCGGTGAGATTGGTTAACAGGACAGCACTATCGCGGCCGGCTGAGGACACCATCTTATCATCATCCTGGGGGCTTCTTGGCAGCTCGGAAACCAGGATGATGTGGATGCCCAGCTTGACTGCTGTCTCATACATCAGGTTGCGGGCAGTGCCGATTCTTCGTAGGTTGATTTGAAGAAACTCCATAATTTTGGGTGCTGTACGTCTTCCATTGGACGCTCCACATTTTCGGTTCCTTCTGCTACCCTAAGTACCATGTTGAAAGCCATCCTGGTCTCAATTGAGGCCGAGCTGTCTGCTGCCTTATGGCCGCCATCGCCGCACCTCCAGTTGCAACTTGACCTATCCACCCCAGTACAAGACCTCGAATGGTAGCCGAATGACAGGCACCGGAAACATCTAGTCTTTTCCTCACATTCTCTTACCCGACAGTTGACCATACACACACGGAGGCGTCCGTAGCTGATCACCTTGCGCGTTACCTCTGTTGGGGCCAGAACGATAGCCGCCTGGCTTCTCCCTAGAAGTTTCCTAATCCTTAGTACTTTGATGTCGCTCTCGGAGCATGTGGAAGCTGCTGCAACCGCGTCACAAACATCGGCGCTGGTGGACCACTCATCCATATCCATGATCTCGATAGTGGATTTACTCCCCATAGTCCGGACCTGGACGTCGGGACCCGTTGCTTTCTCCACTTCTGCACTTATGGCCTCGACTTGCGTGGAGCCTCCACGAACTTCAATCAATAAACCACCTGCCGCTGCCCAATTAATTGATCTAATTTTTAACCTGACTAAACTGATAGTCGATAGGTTATAGATATGTTCAGTATGTATTCTGGTTGAATATATACTGTTATATAGTTGTTTGAAACTGTTGTTAAAACTCTATGAGGTTATATTATTCTTAAAGCTTATGTTACCTTGAATCTTTACATTTATAAAANATTTTGGCCGATATTTTTTTTATTTTTGAACATAAACTTATTATTCTCGTATTTCTTACTCAAACTTTATAAAGTTGTATTTTTTTGATAGATCTGGTTGTAGTGAATAGTTACATATAATATTTGTTGATTTTATATGCTTATTTTTTTTTTTGTACTTACTTCGATACATATATTTCGTGTGACGATTCAAAATATCGTAACTTTCACCAAATTATAATAAACTTGGAGCATATTGAAATCTTCCAGCAGTGGAAGATGTCTTAGAAAACCATTTTAAACGAGTTAAACATAAGTTAATGAGCATATCTATGAAAAAATTCAGTTTGCACCAGAAAGATATCAAAAGTTTTATTAATTAACAATAATGAATATTAATGTTCATATAACTGTATTAGATAAGCAAGTTAATAAAATTTGTGAAGAATGGTCCGTTGATACTTTTAAACAACATCTAGAAATTTTTATAACCTAAGAATAAATTATTTAATCAGGAACCTGATAAAAAAGATATCTATTAATTTAGACATATATTTTATAATTTTAATAAAATCTAAACACAAATGTTCGCAAATAGATGGATCAGGCTATTTATATCTAAATAATTTTAAATATTTTTTTCCATTATGTTTTACAATATCATTATCATTTACTTTATATTCAAAATACAGACAATCAGATTAATACAAATCAAACCCAATATTAAATGGAGATGATATTTTTAATAATCTGTTTTCAAGTAAAACTTTTGTGGTTCTATTTAGACTTTGTTCTGAATAACTATTAAATATTATTTCAAGAAATTTTTATGAATATAATCCAACTACTAAGACATTTGTTTGTCATCATGTCCGTTTCGCTCCAATAATAAATCAACCTTCTTGATTAATTCGTATAATCTCATCTTCGGGATTAGGTATTGTGAATTTAAATGGAAAATCTCCAACTACTGTATCTTTTATTGTGTTTAAATATTTATCTTTTTCAAAATCAAAATCAAAATCTAAATATTTGTTTTACTTTTAATGTAATTAAAAAAAAAAAAAAAAAAAAACATTAGATTTGGTATTAACTTTATCTTCTTTTATAGAAATTATTAACGGTTTAAAAATTTTATTTAATTCATCTATAGAATATTTTCCAGATTTCAATTCAATTATGTTACCTTCGACTTTTAATAAACAATCTGTTTCAATGTTTATCAAATTTGAAGTAATACTTAAACCTAAAAATCCAACAAATAAATTTTTTCCAAATATAGGGTTTTCTGTCCTTATAAATCCGTTTTTTTTTTTATTATCTTCATTTATTATAAATAATATTTTTAAATTTATTTTAAATTAAAAAATGCGTACTAGGAAAAATATATAAAAATTATAGAATACAGATAAAATATGATTTAACGGTAGTAGCACTATTCAAATTCAATCAAATAATATATTTTATTAATATATTTAAAAAATAATTATAATTCCGTTTGTTCAAATTCATTAAAATAAAATATTTTGTTGTTATTAAGTTGTTTTACACCTTTACAAACCAAAAAGATTTCTTCTTGCGTGTTTTTGTTGATTGTTTCAATTTTGTTATGAGAAAAATTATTTAAAAATCTATCATTTCATTCTAGTTATCCTATATACATTATTTTTCGAATCGATAAAATATTAAAGCCGTTTTTTCAATAGTCAAACACTATCAAACTGATTATGATGTTATCGGTTCAATAACTAGCTATTGGTCGTTTATGCAACCCAGTTATATTTATAATTGATATTATCTTGATTTTCAATGATAACAACCCGTACCCTAAGCTAAGAAAACCACACGGCCACAGGTATATGGGTTGAAATTTGCTTGAACAATATTATTTATAGATAAAGTGATATTCGAATTACAAAATTTTCGGGGTCTATCTAATGTACATAACCAGTAGGTACCTATTTATTGTTCAACAAAAATATTTTCTTCCATATTTAGTTATAAATTTGATGTATTTAATAAAATAATTTGATATGAAATTAGGTACAGAATTAAAATTATTCGTTTGAAATACACAACTGGAATGTATATCTACATATATATTTATTTATTTTAAAGAAATATAATTGTATAAGTATACTCATTTATTTTTAAAGGAATATTGTCTGACCATATGATTTGCAAAGCTCACAATCAAAATTTTTCTTAATCGCACACTTGTCATGCGAGAAATGGTAAAATCAAAATTCTATTGTGGAACATTGGTAAGACGAGGGTTACGGGAAATATGTGTATGTGGCGTTTTTCGATATTTTGAGCTGACCCCAAAATACCTATAAACCCATATACCTATTTATAACCATGTGGTTTAAAATTAATTTTTGTTTAAAATACAATATACCTACGTCCTATATAGCTAACGTAACCAACAGGTACCTATTTATTTATTTTTGAAAGGGATAATATAATTGTATAACCAAAAATTAAAAATCATGTGGTTAGCAAAGCTTAGGTAGATACTATGCATATTATTCTAAAACTACAAACACGTACTTGTCTTGCGGGAATTGGGAAAACCAAAAATTCAATTGCGAAACATAGGGGAGACAGAAAATATTAGCATATGACGTTTTTCGATATTTTGACCCGACGCCAAGATATCCCATAAGTCTATCTATAACCTAACCTAACCATGTGGTTTGAAGTTTAATTTCTTTTTAAAAGACAACATACCTAATGTAACTTAAGGTACATAGTTATTGTTCAATAATGATTGCCATAGGAATATATACTTAAAATATTATACCTTAATGTAATATAAACTACTTACAACTTGGACGAAAAAATGTAAAATAAAAAACATAAAAGTGTGTAAAGAGACTAGTATGTAAAGTCACTAGTCCAAAGACGAGAAAACAGTGACTTGATAAAAACCAACCAGATTTAAACTAGAAAAAAATTCAACTTGCTTATCTAGTACAGGTATATGAGCATTAATATTCATTATTGTTAATTAATAAAACTTTTGATATCTTTCTGGTGCAAACTGAATTTTTTTATAGATATGCTCATTAACTTATGTTTAACTCGTTTAAAATGGTTTTCTAAGACATCTTCCACTGTTGGAAGATTTCAATATGCTCCAAGTTTATTATAATTTGGTGAAAGTTACGATATTTTGAATCGTCACACGAAATATATGTATCGAAGTAAGTACAAAAAAAAAAATAAGCATATAAAATCAACAAATATTATATGTAACTATTCACTACAACCAGATCTATCAAAAAAATACAACTTTATAAAGTTTGAGTAAGAAATACGAGAATAATAAGTTTATGTTCAAAAATAAAAAAAATATCGGCCAAAATTACGATACGATGGAAATTCTTCAGTTCAAATCAAGTTTTTGGAAAAATATTAGGAAATAAATTACGTTTTATAAATGTAAAGATTCAAGGTAACATAAGCTTTAAAAATAATATAACCTCATAGAGTTTTAACAACAGTTTCAAACAACTATATAACAGTATATATTCAACCAGAATACATACTGAACATATCTATAACCTATCGACTATCAGTTTAGTCAGGTTA